CCGCACATGGCCGACAAGTGCAAGGTGGTGGAGGAGCTGGTGGACAAGCTTCTTGGTGCCTGCCAAAGACTCTCCGGGGAAGCTCTCTTCAAGCCACGGCTGCAGCCGGCCATCGGTGTGGGCTGCTTCTCCGAAGACGGGAGTACCCGGCAGGACAACGTCCTCTACCGCCTGCTCGTGCCCCTGAGGCCTCCCCCCGGGCACGCCTTCCACCCGGAGCTGGGCGCCGAGGGGGAGACGCCAGCGAGGAAGCCCGGCCTGCGCGTGGAGCTGGAGTGCGCCTGCGCGAGGGAGCGGCTGGTGGGGGACATGCTGTGCTTCCTCCACCACCCCGAGGACGAGCTGAGGAGCAGACAGGAGCCCAGCCTGCTGCGCACCCTCTGTACCGGCTCCTACCTGGATGTGGAGGAAACCACTCGCTGGTTCCAGGCCTTGGTGAAAGCAGCCTGGGAGCTTCTGCCGCAGTCGCGCCACTGCCGCCTGACGGTGCTGCCCTCCCGCCGCTCCTGCAAGATCAGGCTGGCCAACGCCTCCCAGAGCACCCTCTCCATTGAGATCACGCTTGGGGTGCGGCTAGGCGACTCGGACTCCTTCCTGAGCCTGGAGTAGCCGCGGCCAGCTTCACCAGCAGCACGGCGCCGCCAAAGAGCTGCGCTGTGGCACAGATGCAGTCTGTTGGGCACATGGCCAGGCATGCCCGACCCCACAGCTTCCACCTCAACCATCTGCAGCCCCGCGCCCGTATGCTGGTGAGCAAAGGCTTTTCCCCCCACGCCCTGAGGACGGCTGTGATTCACCACCTGACAGCCACAGCCCTGGAAAAAAAGTGTAAAATTAGAAATCTTAGAAATCTTGGTTGACCAACTTGGACTTTTAACACAGACTCGCTGATATTTTCTTTAAAGATCAATACTGAAATCACAGTATCTTGTCATGACATGTGTACACTGCAAGCTGATATAACCACATTCATCTTCAGGCAGCATAGTACAAGCATGTAAACAAAACGTTTAAAACGTTTGATCTTTGTGCTGTTTTATTCTTTAACAAAATATCATGGGTTTCAGACTTTTTTTATATATACCCTAAACTAAAATTAAAAATAAAAATAAACTTAAAATAAAGAGGCAGTTTGTACTTTTTTTGCTCTGAGTTGCAGCTTCACTCCCCAAAAGGCAAGGTTCTCATACCTAACTACTTGCATTAACTAACTGTGTGCCGAGTAGTGCTACTGATTTTAATATATCATGCTTAAACCTGATGATGTTTATGTGTATTTGGGACTAGATTTAACTCATTAAATATCTAATCTAACTTATAAAAAAATGCTCTGGTTTTTTTTTTTTTTTTTTTTTTTTTTTTTTTTTTTTTTTTTTTGTGTTGTTTTTTGGTTGGTTGGTTGGTTTTGGTTTTGGTTTTGTTTCCAGCAATGTACATGTATAGATTTTGCTTCCTTGCAAGGTATGTATTAATGTAATTAACGCTGATAAATCTGAGTGGTTTCTATATGCATAGATCTCAAAGTTCAGGTTCTTCAGTTGTAGCAGCATAAGCTTTGCATGAAACAACTTCATATAATTCAGGTCTTAGTGTGGAGTGATCACTAGAAGCTATTTTTATTTTGTGTATTCATATGGTTTTTTTTTTGAAGAAATATCAAGGGAGAACATGAAATGTTCTTGTTCTGTGGCATGCAAATAGGGGCTATGCAAGTAAAAGTTTAGTATGCATGTGTTTACAGTAAGCAAATTCTGATATGTTTGAAATTGGCAGAAATTTCCATAGCTTTAAAGATTTGGCCCATAAAGCAGGCAAAGAAGAGACACAAAAAGCTTTGGTGAATTTATTATGTTGAGATTATGCCATCAAGGAAAACCATCCAAAGTTCACTCTGCTCTACAATTAAAATACATTTATATGTGACACGTTTGACTTCCTGTTATAGCAGTAATCATAATTCTTAACTTTTGACTTGTGTGCATTCAAATCCCTAACAAAGTTCATGATATTGCACTGATGTTATTATTCACACAAGTAATTCCTTTGTCTTTCTGAAAAAAATAAAATAAAATAAAATGAAAATAAAAAATTAATTGCATTATAGTTACTTACCTGGGTAGCTGTTGCTTTATTGGTTCCATAGGAATCCAAATTTTGTATATAAGCTCCTTGAAAAGACACCAGAAGACCACATCCGTATGTCCTGACTTAACATATAAATTCACAAAGCTCAGCCTGTTATGCCTACATGTCAGTTTGGATCAAAATTGGTAACACAACAGTGAATAAGTAGAGCTGAGAAGGAGATCTTTTTTTCAATTTTATTGGAAATTTCCTGAAGACAAAAATGTGATAGTACCTTAAAATAAACCACAACAAAGATTTTAAAATTTCATCTCACTTTACAGCTCTTCACGGCTTAAATAAAAAAAAAAAATAATAATAAAAAAAAATGTTTTTCATAAATTTGTAAAACTTTTAAGTAATAAATCAACAAGCTACTTTCTAAAAATGAGGAAAAAATTCAGCATGATTGAAATGCTTTTTTTTTTCCTTTTGAAATCAGCACATTTTTCTGAACACTTCAGTTGGGCAAGGCACCACTTCATAGAGAAAAAATGATGTTCTGGGAAAAAAAGAAAAAAAAAAAAAAAAAAAAAGAAAAAGAGAGAGCTGAAAGGGTTGAAAGTAAACTTTTAGTGACTTTTTAAGTTGGCTGTGAGAGATCCTAAGAAGACACGCATGCTGAATATTAGGAGACAGAAAGGGAAACATCCAAGAAATAATTTCAATGTTTTATGCACTCGGAGTATTTATTTATTTATTTTTGATTTCAGTGATTCTGCCTTCATTGCACCTACTGCCATCCACACCAGTAGTGCAGTCTCATGTTATATTTGCACTACCATTTGTAGCAGCATTTGGATACCCAGTTGTGCTCCTTTACCAAGCCTCATGTCTGTACTTATGTCAACAGTGGGGAAATTAGAAAGATTAGACTTTTCCTACTTTTTCACTGTCAACTCTGAAAGAGCAAGAAAGACATTCAAAGCTAGCACCCGGTCACCAACCTCAGAACAATCAAGGAAAAAAAATCAATAGCCACCATCCTTCCTTTGAAACCTAGCTGCTAGGACCACTCAGACACATGCCCACTGGTGTAAGAGAGACTGAGTAAAAACAGTTTTCTTTTGAAATAAAATTGCTTTCACTTCCAGAGAGTTGCATATGGAGCTTTGCTATGTTGTTGCTACACCACTGCTATTCTAATGGCTTGTGAAATGTTGAAGGCTAAAGGTGGGGTCCTCATCAGTCACTTCCTTCAGGCCCTAGAGCATTTAAAATGCGTGGGTGCCTCTTATTAGACACTGCAAAGTAGTCCACTTCTGCTTGGCACAGAGGTCTGAGTCCCGTAAAGGCTGAGTAACTTCATTCTGAGCTACTAATGCCTAAATCCCATGAGAACATGCACTTTAAGCATCTCTTTGCTCATAGAGCAGAACTGCAAAAACAGTAGTTGTATTTCCTTTACTATTTTTTTAATAAATAACGGATCAATTAGAGCAGTAACTCCAATGTTAACAAAATGAGCTTCCTTGTCTTGCATTCAATATTCTGCTTTGATAACCATGTACTATGTTTAAATTTTTATTTTTGTTGACAAAATTAGCACACTAAGAGAAGGAAGAAAAAAGTAAATATGTGTGAACTCATCTGGAATGGTGGTGCTTTCTAGTTCCCCTGAGATCCAGTAATAGTATTTGTATTTTATTCATAGGTTACTTAGTACAAAATCTTCAAAAGGCACTGGAGCAGAGAATTAAACCTTGGAGAACTTCTTGATATCCTTACCCATAGCTTTCTGACCCCAAGTGCACTCTATCCATTCTGGAAAAAATGACAGCAAGAGAATCTGTGTCTTTTCTACAAAGCCTGGAACAGCAGACAGGGTAAGGCATTTGCAGGTTGGAAACAGGGGGTTGATATGCCTCAATCGAGGCAGAGAACTTAAATCAGATCTCGCGTATAAAGACTGCATGTTATGAAAAAGCAAATTAAGAAGGATACCTAAGGAAACATTATTTATGTAGACAGATTTTGACTGATAACACAGTCCTTTGCTAGGCTGTGGAAGAAAGGCTTGGCTGCCTTTCTCTGAACAACAGACTCAGAATGATGAAATCTTAATGCTTGAGAGAAACAACACTTAACGTGTTCCACTTTTCACAGTGTTACCTATAACTTAAAATGCCAGCCCAGTGTGCTGGCAATACTGACAGCCTGGACTCAAACCTTGAAATCCATAGTTAGAGTACAATTCTTCTCAATATGTGAGTACACAAAAGAAATGGGAACTCATTATTCAGCAGATCTTCTGTCTGCATGCATTCAGTTGCAGCTGCTTATTCTTGAGACAAAAGTGATGTTAAGGGATTTTGTGGCATTTTTTTTTTTGTTTTTCCTTGCTGCTTCTTTATCCTAGGACAACGCCAAAGCTGAATTCTGTCTCAACTTATGTACTGTGCAGCACTGCTGGTCATGTTCAAGGTGAACCTAACAGGAACTGAAGGGAAGCTGATTCTTTTCCATAGGGTCCTTTCATACATGCAAAACCTGAAGTTAGTCTTGCTTCAGATTCCGAATAGAGAAACTTGCAGGATTTGATTAAAAGACATCTTTAGCTTTATTAATGGCATTTGTGCACAGAGTTTGTTTACCTCCCCATGCTCTTCACATTGAATGCTGAAAAACAAAATGATTTTTTAATGAAGAAAAGTTTCAAATTAAAAATTTACTTGAAAGATACCTCTACAGAAGCTGCAAAAACCTCTAAGCATGCTTAATCCCTACATCTTCTTCAGCTGGATAAACAAGACCTCAAATTAAAGTCCCAACTCATTCCTTTCCTAGACTTCATATGGATTTGAACAGCAGCAATCAATAATCCAATTTACATCTCAGCCAACACCTTTTGTGACTACAGCTACAGCTTCCCATCAGGCCTGTATTTATTTCAGCCCTGTAGCTCCTGAGAGCTGTTTGCACCATCTTGGTAGCCTGGGAGTACCAACAGACTGTGGGGGCTGCCAGGAGGAGGTAGGACCTCGCTACTTCACAGGGCTTGGGCTCTGGCCAGTAGGGTGGGTGGTTAGAGAAGCCTGACCAACCACCTGGTGTTGGTTCTGCTCTGTAGATTTTGTAGCTCTTTTTACATTCTGCTCAGCTGTAATTGACAGTTCTGTCATCATTTCTTCACCATCTTTGAGTGTATTGTTATAGATGAATACGTACTATAGTTTGGGAAGAATCCTTGCTCATCACAGCTGTCGTTTTCCTCTTCTTTGGTTCTTCTTGTTCCTTTTTCCTACGCTTTTAGTAGTGTAAGTCATGCTGCTTATATTGCATATGCATTGACAGATTTTTTGACTGACATGCAAATTAATTCAGAGGAAGGAAAAAAGAACATTTTTGTTCCTGACACTTCTTTATTTTTATCTTTTCATGCCATCTTTGACAGGCTTTAAAATCTTATTCATATTTTAGAAGTAACTTTAAATAAAGAGCAATTTGTTATATCAGAAGTGTGTTACTACTGCATCTTGCTATCCAATTTGTTCAAGTCTATGCTAAGAAAAGCTCAGAATGATACGATTCTGACACTAAACAAAATGCCTGTAGTTCTGGTAAATATTACTTTTTTTTTTTTTTTTAATCTGCTTGAGGGATTTTTTTTTTTTAATTACCCTGGGAATTTTCTGTGGTGCCCTTTAGCATGCTCCTTCAGTATTGCATAGGCAGAGCCCTGAGAAATATCTGCAGTTTATAAAATGGAATAGGATGGTCTCAGAAAGGGCCATTACTAAGAGCAGAAAACTCATTCTCATTAAATAAAAATAATGGCAAGTAGACTTGTCATAGTACCAGTGCCTGATATATAAGACTCCTGCATTTTAAGCCTTACTTATTGGCTTTCAAATGATTGTTTCATTCTTTTATTTTTCCAGTTCTACTGGTGTCCTGCTAATTTTACTTTAAGAAAACAAAGTGTTTCTTTGCTTTTCCCTTTTTATATTTACTTACATAGGAATTAAAATTGCCTGTCTCCTTCCACCTCCCACAGATCTATGGCCTTGGAATAATTCTGTAAATCCTGAAGAAATAGAAAAGCAATTTTATGGAGAGGAAATAGACTTTATGTGTATGCTGAATGAGTTTTAATCTTTTTTTTTTTTTTTTTCCCCAAAAGATCACAAGTCTCAATTAGACTGGTGACTTCAATTTTTCTTCCTTTGGTAGAAAAGTTTTGAAACTTCTGTTTTTTCTTTCCTGCTGTATTATGGTCACCTCCAGTACTGCATACTGAATACCCATTGTTGTCCATCCCAAGAATCCAAAGGTACTGCAGGAATTTCTGTACTATGTGTAAGTGGTTTTCAGAGGTGAAAACACTGTCTGTGGATTGGAGATTAATGTCTGAGGAAAAGAAAGATCAGTGACAGTAAGAGAATACATGGGACTGGGAACCTGGGTACTGAAAAAATGGAACACGAGGAGAGAAGTTATGGGAAAGGAAAAAAAGAAAAAAATAGAAGGTTAATTCTAGTTTTTTATTGTCATTGCTCTTGTTTTTTGTTTGTTTTTTTTTTTCCCCTATTTTCCCTTAAAAACATTTTCTTCTAAGAAAGAATACTCCCTAATACAGAAATGTCACAGCTCTCTCTTTGCAGAATTTTTTTTTAGAATAGCACACAATTTGATGCAAAACACTCCTATTAACTGATTTGTTTTTCTTCCAGCACAGGTTTTTCAGTCCTTTTTGTTCTCTTGGCTAGTGTCTTACATTTTTCTAAAAGCTGTGTTAGTGTATGCGATGCTCTTAGCTAGTGAGGAAAACTCATACAAACAGTCTGAAGCATGAGTTTTCTTTACAATTGGTATACTTCAAAATTCTTTGCACTTCACAAGCTTAGTTGTGCTTGATTCGTGTTCCTGAACAAACAAGGGAGGAGGAGCAGCTTTGGAAAATATAGCACTTTTGGAGCCAACAACAGAACTTACTACTTATTTTAATCTATTTTTAACCCTGAGCTCATAGAGACAGGGTTTCTTGGACACTTTGTGTCCATATGTCAGATGTGAGACTTAACAAATGAAAAACTGGGCAGAATAGTGACTGTGGTTAGCAATTAGTCAATGAGTAACTGTCTCATTGGTGGCTTATGTAGAATAATACTTTCTTGCAACGTGCAAAACAGGAATATGAATTTAAGCCTCTTATTTTGAATACTGGTTAATAGGTGCTTTAGAATAATCTTACAGTGACAGTTTCATGTATCCATAATAAGTGTGCATAATGAAAAAACACTAAACTTTATTACCCTGTAGAGTTGTTTTTGCTTTCAACCACTTAATTTTTTGAATTTTAGAGAAGCTATAAACTATTTCCTACTGAGTTTCCTCTGATACAGATATTGTGATTTCAAGTAAACCTCCAGTTAACACTACAGTTAGGCCAAACAGGTACTAAATTACTTGGGGTTAGAGCCAAGTATGTAGTGATTTTAAGAAAAGCTAAAACAAAGGTTTGGGGTTAAATGTAGAAAGTCCAAGTCCAAACCTCCTGTAACTGAGCTTGTGAGCAATGTGCTGATTAGATTTCTTGCTTGAAAGCACTTTTTTTTTTTTTTTTTAATGGACATAAGAACTGTTTTTTTTAATATATATATATATTTATATATATATATATATATATATATATATAAATATATATATATATATATATAAATATTTTCCCCTCAGGAAACTTATAAAACTGAACTTTATTACTAACCTACCTCCACCTCAAAATGCTTAGTTTTGCATTATTCATTGTGAAAGCTACTTGCTATGGACAGATCACAATTCCTGCCCTGTTCATTTGTCTGACTTCTCTACTCCCTTGTAGTTGTGTGCATGCAATTCATCATTGCTTACCTTATTTCTGAAGCCCCCAGGGGTGAATAACTTTTAAACACTTTGATAAAGAGTTGTGCCTTTCTCTTTCTTGTCCTCTTCTAGACAATTTTCCTTAAGGCTGACCTTCCTACCTCCAGGGCATTTTGGAAAACCTGGGAAGGAGAAGAGGTGGCTGTTTTCAGATTTTTTTATTTTTTTTTTTCTGAGCCAAAACCTCTTAGCACTTCACCCCACCTCATCCCCTGCCCCAGGCTTGGGAGAAGCTTTGAATAATAAGTATATCATACTTGAAACAGAGTCAACCATTCAAGCTGCTGTTGTGGTCTTTGTTGCTTTGTTTCCTTTCTCTGTTGAGATCAGCCATGCAACCCATCTGCCATTGTGCAGCTGAAATCAACACTGGAAGCGCAGTTTTATCTTCAAGAAAACTGCTAAGATGAGAGGGGTGAACCCACTCCAGAAATCTTTTCATACCAATGTTTCTGAGACAAATGTTGAGAATTTTCTGCCTTAAATGAACATTCTGGCTGAATCCTTGGAATAAAAGCACAAACAGGCTATTTTACAGGTAGTATTTGGCTAGACTCAGTAAGCAAAACACCCTTCTCAACAGTGAAGAGGTAATCCTGAGAAACTGTGCTTGGAAGAGTGTTGTTGGTGGAAAACCCTACTGGGTGTAATGGTTTATCTTTCTTAAGATGCGTGTTTCTGCCTTGTTTCTTTGGGGCTTGGGGGATGTGGCACCCAGCAGTGTAAAAGTTTTCTTTAACTCTTTCTGATTATGATTCTGTTATGTTAAGAGCTCCTTAGCAGATGAGGCTGTTGCAGATTTTCAGGATGTCTTTCTTAATTCCTAATTCTACTCTGAATATCAGTTTAATACGTAGAATATGGGGGGAATTATTTCTTTTCAAGAAAAGTTATCAGATACTGTATCACTGAATTGTGCTAGAAGATTACTGGTAAATCATAATTTTTCTGTGCAGCTGATGGAAGAAATAAATCTATCTAAGCACATCAAAGCGAAGTATTTATGGCTCCCTTAAATAGCCTTTCTAACTCATATTTCCTATATAAATCAGTCTTGTTTGTGACCTTGGCAATACATCAGCGCTACAAAAATATCTAAATTGCTTTTTGCCAACTCAAACTGAGGTTCTTTTAACTTACCATTGCCTTCAATTTCTTTAAATATCACAGGAAATGTCCTCTCTGATTAAATACAGTTTAAACACTACAAAATGTTTTAGGGAAAAAAATCTAAGTATATTGTTAGATGATACCTTCATATCACCAATCTGAATTTTTATTACTGTGAACTTGACCACAACATACTGTAAATATCTGTTGACATGTAATCTCAAAGAAGCCTGGCTTCAAGTTTGTAGTTATAAGTTCCTTTTAAATTCTTTTTAAAACTATTACATTTTGAAACGTCCTTCTTTGAAGCTAGGATAGATCCCCTGAGGAATTTCCTTGCACTTCACTGGAGGCTTTTTGTCCCTATGTTATAAGGCCAAGAAAACTAGACCTCTTTTTGTTCCTTACTTCTTTTGAGCCTAACCTAAACTGCCTGCTGTTTCTTTTGAAAGTTCATCATGCTTCCATTGACACAAGCCCTGACCCAAATGCATATTGCAGCTTGTCTTCTGCCTTGTAGTTTTTCTGGCACAGAAAGCACAACTATCATAATCTTTTATCCTTTATTGATGTCAATATATTGATTTTAACAAAAGATCATGCTAGGAGATTTTGGTCTGTTTTCATTTTATCTAGACACTGTCCAGCGATGGTACAACATATGTTGATGACAAAACAGATCTTTGGTGTTTCAGGATGGAGCATTGATAAAAACAAAAACAATAAAAAGCTAATAAGGAAAAACAAGGCACAAATACCCTTTGCATGGATCGGGTAACTTGTGTGAAAAGAATTCAAATTTAAGAGGAAAATTGGTATCATTGCATTCTTATGACATTATTTATTTTTTTTCTTTTAGCGAGTGAATGAATGAAATTTCCTCAGAGCTAGAAATTTTACTTTCACCTGGTTCTGCAAGCAACTAAGTATCCAGTTTCATCTAAATCGCTGGAGATGTTCATTACTAAATTCTCAGAACATTCCACCCACAGTGAGTAACCAATTCACATGACTGCTGGAATAGCATGAATAATACCTAAGAAATAAAAATGTACATGAGGAAAACCAACCATCCAAAGAGACAGTAAATGAGAGGTTAAAAATAATGTCAGACTGTCAGACTCCCAGCTGAAAGCCTGAAGTTCTTGAAGGCTACAGGAGTATTTCTTAAATTCAGTACTTGGCTTTCTTAAAACAAAACAAAACTTTTTTATATTGCTTGAGAAGAGAATCATGGAGATATTTTAGATGCAATGAATCCAACATTTGCAATAAAACAGCATGCCTACACAAGCTCTGTATGATAACATATTCCTTCAAAATCTGAAAGCTTCCCCTGAGAAAAGAGGAAGGCACTGTCCCCATGCCTTCTGATCACCAAGAGCCCCAGCTGGTGGTAGTTACCTCCCCAGGGAAGGAGGGCAGGCTGGGATGCTGCTTTTACATGGTGAAGAAATGTTAGTTGCTTGCTGCCCAAGGGGTCAAGGAAGTGAGTATTGTGGTTAACTCATGGAAGCTCACGGAATTGCCTCAAAACGTGTCTGGTCTCCTGCTTTGTCTTCCCCCAGCTATCAAGGTGAGCTAAATTATAATCATTGTGAATCTGTGTCTTTATGCTGTCTGCAAGTATTAAAAACAAGCTGATTCTGTGGTTACCTGCTTAATTAAAGGTCGGTGCAACTTTATAGCCCTGAGAAATGTACTCCTGATTTACAGGAAAACATAAAAGTCAGAAGAAAATTGGGCCATATAATTTAAAGATCATTATTGCCATTCACTTTGAAATAATACTTCCACATTGGAGCTGAAGTTACATCATTCATTGTGATTTGTACTTTTAGAAATATGAGATGGACAACAATTTTTTCAGACCTCAACCTTTGGCTAGACAGAGTTATGATTAACTATTATAAGCGGAGTATTAATGTAAAGGAAAAAAAAAAAGATGGCAACAAATTAGAAGTAGAGATCTGCCAGCAAAACATTCTCTTCCAACCAAGAAGAGAATTTATGGAGGGGACAAAAACCTTAGATTGATTAATTTCATTATAATGAGGCACTCTGTTTAAAACAAAAAATCTATTTTTTAAAAAACAAGAGAAAACATAGGATTGGCCTTGAGAATGCAAGAAAGCAGTTGCAGACAAAGATAATGGACAACAGCATTCTGGAAGATTTGTATGTTTTTTTGTTTTTTTTTCCATGAGCATTTCTCTGAAGGAAAGGACAAAAGGATTATGTGAGATTTCTCCCACACACCCCCCAATGCCAAACCAGATCACAGATTTCCTTTAATTTTACCTACAGGAGAAATATAATGAACACTGTAGGATGTACATTAGTACTTCTCCCAGACTGGACTAGAATTTGAAACTGGCTCAGAAGACAACACAACCAAGTTTAGCATGAGATTAATCTCCTACTTATTTGTACTATGAGCAGAGATGTTTCCTCCTGTAAAAGTGTTTTTGTTTCCTTAAATAGTAAGGGAATAGCAGCTAAGGAAGAAGCCGGACTATGTGCTATTTTCCATCTTCCAATAGATAGAAAAGATGAGGAAAGATGTTTTCCTGAGTAGAGTTCCATGAGTTTTCCTGAATAGACCACAGAGGATATAAATTAACAGACTACATCCAAAGTAAACCAGATGTCTGTTATCCAGTCTACTTTCTGGCATATCTAAGGACATGATAAATCATTGATAAGGGAGATAAGGAAAGGTGGTGGCAAGTGAATACCTGATTGTTCCATATTTTTACTTTCAATAGCATTCAAAGAACACTGCAAAACAGATGAGTTATGTAATTATTCCCCTTCAAAGTTTTGTTTTACTTTCTTCATTCACCAGACCTGTTAAAATGCCTTAGATTTTAGCTCTAGTAAAAATCTGGAAAGACTACCTCTTTCCCACCATCAATAATTAAATGACATGATTTGAGACCCCTCTTTTACCTTAAAGACTAATGAATTATATTTAAAAACAAAATATTAAAATTAGACAAACTCATTAAATTGAGGAAGACTCATAATGGGTTCACAAGAAACTGAAAAAGGCAGCTGTTGCTTTGCGGGGGTCCCAAGCAGAAGAGTTCCCTAAGCTGTCCCATTTAGATGACCTGTAGCTCAGATGATTGCTGTGAGTGCCACCTCAGAGGTCTGGTTCAGAGCACTGTGCCCAGATGATGCAGCAGCCATTTCAGCTATTTTATATCTTCATTCACTGCATCAGATGATGAGTGAAAAGGCAGAAGAATGCAGAAACATTTCTCTTTCTGATATAGAAACTGGAGAGGGTAAGTTCCTCTCTATGCCATTGCAATGGCCAGATGCAATCCCCACCTAGCAGTAGCCAAAACAAACGACTGCAAAAATGGAAAACAAGATTCTACCTTACTATTTTCAAGCAACAGCTTTGAGGGTCCATATTCATAAATGTGGCTCCAGGGGTCTAGGAAGTGAAAAACAGAAGGCAGTTTAGGAGTTTAATCTTCTGTTGCAAAACAGGATTTAATCATTTTTAGCTCTTTTTAGTCCTAGTATTCAGTGTATCAGTATAGGTTGCTTTTAAAACTTGGTCTTCAGAATTCTATCTTATATGAAAACATCTATGGATCATAGCAAGTTTTCAAACAAATTTTCTCCTTACTCAATAAAATATTGCTGTGAACTGAGTGAATAAACAAATAAACCACACCAAACTTATACAAAATATACCTCCCAAGTAAGCCTTTAGAAGTCAGAAAGATTGTTTTCTGGCAATCCCAAATTTCTGCTCTAAGTTCTAAAAATGTTTTTGTCAGAAATATCTTTGTTTGAAAAACACTTCTATTAGTTTCAGTTTTCAATAAAGGAAAATGTTTGTGAGTGCTCTTTATAATATCATATAATCTGTTCCTTTTTCATTAAAATCAAAGCAGTGTGTACATGTGATTTTTTTCACCAACCAGCACATTCTGGTCACATCCATTATTTTTCATATGGTGAGACCAATCTCATAAGATGGAAGCAGATGGTAACAGTTCCCCCAGTATCATCAAATCAAATTGAGACAGCAAAAATAAACATTGGTCCCAAGCTTAGAAACTAGGTGAATATTCTGCATTCTGAAAAGCTGTGCCAATTTCTTTAGAAACCATGAACAAAATAATGCTGATTAAGAAATAACAATGCATATCCAGAAATAATTCTTAGGAGAGATGAGTGTACTGGAGATGCGAGACTACCTCATACTTAATCTTCCATATCAAGATGGGTTTCATTTAAAATGTGTGAATATTCTCCCTCTGATCTTTGTGTTGAGAAAGTACTCTTATCAATATTAATTCTATGTAACCTGAGGTTCAGTATTGAAATCAAGAACTACAGGTAATATTTGCATTTTCTTTGCTTCCTCTATTGAACAATCAAAAACACTAAAATATCACTACTATATGATGAAAATTCATATAGTAAATATCTTCCAAAATCACTGTCTTACTATTAACATCAAACTCTGGTTCTGTATTTTTCTTTTTTACATTTCTTTCATGTATTTATTTTTCACCATTCAAAAATATTAAATCATGGCAAATGACAAGCAGCTGTTGGAAAAAACAATATCCTTCTGAAGGAGGAAAACCAAACATATTGGGAATATAATATCAGATCACATCAGCCTTAGTTATGCTTCTTATTTTGAACATAAAGTGTAAGGAATAAATATTTTAATTGATTAGGACTTTGAATGTATTTGCTATGTTAAAAAGAAAGTCTAAAGTGAACTTATTTTGGTACAATGAAATAAAACTACCACCTTCTAGGATTTCATTCTGGCAAAACCCTTTAGTTTTCTTCCCTCTGTCTGTCCATCTTCATGGATCCATACAATGACATCTCTTCTGCATTTGGCTCATCTTCTCTAATCCAAAGATCGAGGACACCAGATGGTTTCAAAGAAATTATTACCTATTACTGTAGATCAGGTCTTTCCCTGCTCTTCAAACAACAATAACAATAAAAAGAAAACATCACCCCTTGAGATTTATTTTTTCAATTATCTCTCATGTGTAACGTTTTCATCTCAAACAATTTACATTGGTAAATTTGTATGTAACAGAAAATTCAGTATTCTAGTAGTGATGTAGGGGAGCTGACAGAAAAGCAGCACAATTTCTATCTTGCCAAACTGTTGCCTTTGACAGAGGAATAGCAGTAACAATGCCTATGACACTAATGCTTTTATGTGACATTTGAATAGTGAGTGGAGTAGTGAAAAAGGAGAGGGTTTATGTGAAGTAGCCTGGGACAATAACATAGCATTTGTGTGATACTGGTATCGTATATTTTATAGATAGGGAGAATAACTCTGCTCAGGTAAAAATACTTAGCAGCCCCTCTCATATGGAATGCTTTCTTTGTTATCTTCCAGAAGGTGACTTATCCTGTAAGAAATATGTTGCACAACCCATCGTGTGTCTTGATATTCATCGCAAAATAAATGTTATGACATATTAATTTGATGAAGAGATACCATGAAAAATATCACAGCATAAAAGGAAAGTGTTATGACTAACAGTGTTCATAAATGAAAAATTGTTCTCCTTAGTGTAGTCAAAGGTAGTCTGTATTTTAGATTTTGGTATAATCAGTACCCGACTTAAATAAGTTATGTCTTCTAAATTTTAGATGGCAAGATGTTAGATCACTAACAGGATGTATGGTACATGTGCTAACACAGGAGTGAGGGAAAGAAAATCCCCTAGCATTGTTGAATAACATAATTCTTGTGGTTTGGTACTGGGTAGAAGAGGGAATTTCAGTTTTACAGTGAATCCTCTTGTTATTCAATTCCTCTTGTAATTTGGGGTGTTTGGAAGAAGTACAACGGGTTACTGTTTTCTTCAAGTCTGGGTCTATAATCTCATTAGAGTAAAGGGAGAATTCACAGCCTAATGTAGTATTCTGTCCAGTCTGAAGAACTTCATAAGACAGAATCACATCAGTCAAAGCATCTCTTTTTTTAATCATTTGTAAGCCCAAAGACTACAAACATAATTTCATAATTTTTAATTATTAGAAGACTGTGTTTTGCAGCCTCCATCAATGTCAAACATGCCTTGTGACTTAAAACAAACAAACAAACAAAAAGCTATAATCTATTTGACATGGACTATTAAGTATGTCAATATGTTTTCCAGTTTATTGTTACTATACATTTTCTTATCTTTATTGCATTGATTTGAAGTCATCAGGCAATTTATGACATCAAATATTTAACAAAGTAGCATAAACGTTGATTTTAATGTGAATTTCCACTAAGTCTTCATTACACACTACTCTGACATTGCTATTTTTTCCTTTAAATGTATTTGCATCACAAGATACCTAGCCACTAAGAAGCTTATGTCCACTAATTTAACAATATTTCTGGCAAATTCATAGTATCTCCCTTGTTAGAGTAGTACTTCTGTTTCACAGTCACAGAAATAACCACCCAGCGCTCCTTATAGCAGAAGTGTTTTGGTTCATGGACTCATCCTGCAAACGTTCAAAAAGTAGTAACATAACATTTCAATAGTACTAAAACCTGCTCAAGTTTAGTTGCCAACTTGTGCTCTATTTGCAAGTAAAATGTGCCTTCCTTCCTAATCATCTGCTTCTTTAACCGATCATTTCCCATTCATTTAATAATATATGACAAGTGCCTTCCAAACATGTTTTATCCTTAGACTGTCTCATCATCATTATCTTGTATGGTAGCAGTGCCAGTCTCAAAAGAAATGAACAACATTAGGAACACAAATATGTAGGTGGCAGGTCACTTAAAAAATATAAAATGTTTTGAGTAAGGCCTATCTAAATAACACCAATGCATTTCTTTATGAAAATACGGAAAGCAACTGAAGTTCCATTTGGGGAATTTTGATTAATCAATGAGTGTTTTACCCAATATCTATTATTTGTGCGTTGATTAATCTGAAATACATTACCATAGTGATGATACTGAAAAAATATCCATTTCTAAAATACAAGTTGAAAAATTATCTATATACAAAGAAAGAATCGTGTATTACGCTGATCAGGAAGAAATGGCTAGTTTTGATTGAAGTGTTCAAAATGTATATGTATCTAAGTGGGGAAAAAAATACATATATATGTGTGTTTGTAAATGTTAATGCATGAGTCAATTGTAATTTTGTGAGTCAAAATATTGTTATTTTTATTTAAAAGATATTTAGATGATCCAGCAAAAATAAATACTCTTTTACAAGATCCGTAAAAAGATCTTGTCCTGTGTCATATTTCAGGCTCTAGAAAAGAGTTAAAATGATGGGATGAAGTATATATTTAATCAAAATTCACTGTGCATAACTTATTCTGGTATTTTAATTATTCTGGACCAATAGTTTGAATGATCTTCCCCAAAATCCATATCTTCTGAGTCAAGTTTGTGAAAAATGTATTTGGGAGAAGAGATATTTCCAATATCTTTGCAACAATGCAGATGAATAGTAGGAAAGGAATGACATAATAAAAATAATAACAATTAAAGATAAACTAAGATAACAGGCTAATACAAATTAGTTCAATCATCTTAATATTTCATACACCACCACCACCCTCCCCCCCAGAAAAAAAAAAAGCCTTATGATTTTAGTATCACATGGCTCATGGCTGGGCTTAAGCATATACTTGTTTTTCTTTATATGCCTCAATTCTATTTAATGTATGCAACACAGAAAAACTAGTTCTATTTTTCTATGTTTGGAAATTTAAGGCAGAGTTTTGTTTTTGTTGTCGTTGTTTGTGCTTGTTTGGTTTGGTGAATACTAGCACCCCATTTTTTTTCTGTTTTGGGGAATGTATGGAAGCAGAGAACTACATTAGAACATTCAGAATTTACTATGGTAATAAGAGCTGATAATCTTGGGAAAAGTAATGAAAAATTTGAGTGTTAATTATAGAATTGGTGGATTTAGGCAAATTTTCCATACTGCCTACAGTGCATGTGCACTCTGAGAATTTTATTAATAGAGACAAACGAGCTGAGCAACAAGACAAACACTGGTTCTCAGAAAATGTGGTATACAACCTAGGTAGCTCAAGGTAGAATAACCATTTATCATTTAAACAGTGTTTTAAAGCTTCAATCACTTTAATATTAGCCACAGGACCAGTGTACAGTAAGTTTCTACTTACAGCCTTGACTCTCAGCTGACCTTACTGAGGTGGTATCAAGACATCTGCCTAGGATGATCACGTTACTGATTACATGATTTATTTGTTGCATTTGTGAGATGAAGACAGAGTTTAAGAGGAAATCAAAGTCATTTGTGCCAATAAACCATGCAATAACAATTCAGCATGTTTACAGGTTTATTTTAGAAATGTTTGCCTGGGATTCACATAGAGTAACTCATTACTGGATATCAATAACTTGATTATGCAAAGTAACAATCTGTTTTCAAGCTTCCAAAGATACCACATAAATCACCTGCATCTAAACTCCTTCATGTTACAAACTGTAAGTCAAAAGCCATGAAAATTTTTTTCTTAAAACCCCACTATGTCAAAAGCCAGACCCTGCTATCAACACTTCCTAAGTTGTCCAAAACTACTGCATAGTCTTAATTTTACAATTGAAAAATTATTTGTGTCGAACGGAAACAAAAGGTGGTTAAAAAAAAAAAAAAGAAAAAAAAAGTGATGCAGTTGTATGCTTAAAAAGAAGCAAGCAAACAAGGAAAAAAAAAGGCAAACAAAAAAGACCCTGTGCACAAATTTTATCTCAGTTGTTTTTCATTGTCAGTGATGCATCTCCATCAATTTAATACTTTCTCAACTAGCATGCCATGATTTTGGCTGTCACCTCGCTAGAGAGCATGCCATAAGCCTGAACTAGTTGGCTTCAGGACAGCTTTCCCAATGCCTTTTGATTGCAGAGGATGAGAGGATTGGTAAGGCTGGCCATACATAAAGCAATTCTGTCCCCTTTATCTCATAGTCTTGCTTTCAGTGAGCAACCAAACTAAATATGTTTATACATGACAACTCTCGGACAGCATCCAGAGCCATAGGAATGTGAAAAGAAACAGAAAAATTCATGGAGGCAAATGGAGCTGCTGAGCCATGGGACAAGAGCACAGCAGGAGTTTGGCAGCTCCCCTCTCCACAGCTGGTGTGATGCAGCCACTCTGGGATCATGGGGAGCAAGCTGGGAGTGCTGAGCTGCAAGCTGCACCTTGTTAGGGGAATTCCTCTTCCTAGGAAGAGATTTAATTGCAGCCATCTTCAAACAAATTGAAAAATAACCAGAAGGTGAGTAAGTGAAAGATTCATTTAATAATCTCAACAAGGCCTTTAACAAGTGCTAATGATCATACCTGAGAAAATATCTGCTTCCGATTCAGAATTATTAATATAGGTGCAGGAGGGATGATAGGAATTGACACCAATTTAAGAGGGGGAGCAGAAGTGGAACTTGCTAAATAAAGCAACTACTGTTCAAATACCTCAGTGACGCAAATGTTTGCTAGATTTTCAAGAGATGAGATATTTTGACTTCTATGCATGTTTTCTAGCAAGAAAGGCAGCTTTTCTAGCATGTCCTGCACAACATTGTCTTAGTCACACATTCTGACACCTTTCAATAAATTCCCAGAAGCAGCTCTTCTTTATGGTCTTCAAAGAAATACATGTAGAGTCCCAAATCTCTGGCATGTCAGGGAACAGGCTCAGATGAGATCTAAATCAAATACTCTGTAATATTCAATATAATTTGAAACCACACTACGCAATAACATTGATACAACCACTGTGGTATAATCACAGTATAATCTAAAATCGCACCATCACTTCTCCGACCAAAGGGGAAAAAAAAGTCTGGCTACACAAATCAATTAAACCATGGCTTGCTTGTGGCGGATCTTCTCCTTTCCATTTCTCAGGTCTGGGTCCTTGGATCAACCTAATATGTAGTGTTGGTTTATTTTTATTTTTTTCATAATGGTTTTAGTTATGTCATTTCCAAGACAAATCATACACTCATTTGTCACTATCTTTGCAGTTATGGGAACTGAGCACTGACAACCTTTTTCTTTGTTTTTTTGTTTAAATAGGTCCAATGTGGCTGATTCCAATGAAACTGTTGGTTGCAGTGCCAGAGCTGCTATAGTTTCTTCACTGTCTGAAGAAACTGAATTCTAGAAAAGAACTAAAATGATCTGACCCATGCTGTGCTGTAAGCTTTTACTCAATTTTCAATAACTATTACTCTGAGGTCTTCTTCCAGCATTATACTTCATCCCAGCTTCTATTTCAATATCTATATTTTACATTATTTTCCTCACATATTAGTTTGTATTTTTCCTATTTGAATCTCATTTTGTAATTTTCTGTCTGATTCCTTAATCTTACTTGGTCCCCTTTGTGTTATTCCTTTGTGCTCTCTGGTGTTCACCTCAAGTTCTAATTTATTCTCACCTGCATATTTCATTAACGTATTTTTACTCCCACATCCACATTATTAATAAAGACATTAAACTGAATGAATCTCCACAGAATGCTGTTAAATAACACCCTCCCCCCGCCCCCCCAATACACACACACTCCAAATTTAATACTTTAAGCCTTTATTTTACAGTCAGCTCTCAAGCCATGTGACAATGATCTTCTGCAAGTCATTGGGAAATAATTTGCTGTGAGGTATCAGTCAAGCACTTTTCTAGACTCTATATATATTGAATTCCTTTTATCCACTAAGTAGGTAATGATGTCAAAAAAAAAAAAAAAAAAGGAAAACACAAAAACAAATGACAGAATTTGTTTTTAGGAAACAGTTGCTGTATTTTATTACTTGATGACTGGGTTTGGGATTAAAGAAAGAACGATCTGAATTATTTTTATAACCTTTGTAGTGCGATTTATAGACCATGGTTTTCAGCTTTCCCCACGATCACTTGAATTCCCCTGGCATCTGGACATGCTTCTGCTGCTCATAGTGTTTAGCACTAAACCCTTGTTCTCATGATAGGATAGCAGGGCAAAAGGCTCCTCCAGACCGACTCTTCTGCTGAACTATGGCAAAGCTTACAGCAGGTTCTGCTGTGAGTGCTGCAACCAAGTATGCTGTGATACATCTCCCACAGACTACAAAGTCACCTTTGTGCTGTCTCGAAAGCTTCCATCGCACTCTCACGTGGGAGATGTGCCCCCAGCTCAACCTTCTGACTACGGTGTCTGGGAAGACAGCATGCCCCATTGCTTTAGGGCTGTTTTGTTTTTGCTCTTTTCTGACTGCTTTCTGACACTTTCTTCTCTTTGTTAAATTGTTTCCCTCCCTAGCAATTTTCTCCTAGTTACTTGTGTTCTTTTCTAATTACTAGAAGCAATTAGACTAATTCTCCCCCTTTCTACAGGTTCTGTATTTGACAGTGGAATCCGATTAGGACTGAATTCAGCTGTGGTTATCATCTATCTAGCAAACTGTTTGTGTGTTTTGGGAAGGTAAGTTGGAGACTATTGTATTCATTTAGCTGTTTAAAGCAATATTCAGTGTTAATAAAAAATGCCACAGTCTTTCATTAGGACATAATGCAGTGACTGGAAGAGAAAATTCACTTTTTCACATCTTTTATTTTAGACTTGTGCAAAGACTGCACCAAAAATAATCTAGGGAGTCCAGCCACAAGGTAAAATATGGAATTCTCACATATCAAGCAATGCCCAGGAGAAAAAGAAATTTGCCTTAGAATGACTATTGGAATAGCTGATTTTTAAGACTTGCTGGACTTCTTAGTTCCAAAGAGGATGTTTTGCCATCTAAATGGTGTGCCCTAATGTATCAAACCAAACACTAAATAAATTATTAAGCCTGTGTGGGCTGCTTATTTCCATTTCAAATAAAACACAAATCAAATACGACATTTAAAACTTTTCTCTAATGTTTATAAAGAGTGTTAAGAAGAGCTCACACTTGTAAAAGAAGCTTGTTCAGTGCTTATAAGACTGATTTATCAATAGTGGCAGTCATTAAAAATACAGATATTCCATATGATGATTCAGGAGAACGTTTGTGGTTTAATATGTTCAAAGATTAATACTGACAATAAAAACACCGCCTCCATTTTTCTGGGCAGACATTCTCCCTTTGGCCAACAAACTCAGTTCTGATGTAATGCTTGCTTAAGGTGTTCCTGAGGTGGTTAAACTGACTGTAGTAGTGTTGGACTCTGGGGATTTGGGCTTCCTGGCTTTTTTTAGTGATGTAAAGCCAAGCTCTCTTCTCTCCTTTCTGTAGCAAAAAGGACAATGTCTGGTAAGAGTTCTATTTGTAATAGAACTCTTTGGCCTTTGTACCTAATGAAAGTTAATTTGCAATAAAGCAGTCCTTGGATTTCTATAGTTTGAGAATCAGACTGTTTAAATTACAAAATGATAGTAAGTAAGGCATGAGGGACACTTCTACGCACTGCTGTCAACCTGATGTGTGCATCTTCTGCATGTGCTGTGCTAATCACTGTAGATGTTACCAAGAATGTACAGGGTCAGCAAGGATGCTAGGAAGCAAGCATCTCTAGCTCATTACAGATGTTACAGCACAGGGAAAATGAAAACTACAGAGTACATTTGTGCCATACTAACCTAGGTGTTCTGAATGTCCTCTAGATGAAATTCTGCAGGCACTGGATCCAAGACAGCTACTGGATCCAAGACAGCTTGACACTTTAGATTTATAATACAAGCACCTAAAATAGCTATGGATTAAGCTGCTTTAATTTTTATTATTAATAATACATTTCGTATTTTCAATTCACTGTTATTTTAAGGCTTACCAACATCATGATTCTTAAGAATATGTTTAGCACAAGCTCTATATGTAGAATTTAGCAAAACTGTCTATTTTTATCTTTATTAACAATTTTGAGATTGCATATTTTTTATTTTATGATAGTTTCATATAAAGCCACAACAAATGAGCAGACTGTATTAAGAAAAGGACAAAATGTTCATCTGAGAGTTTTTTTTTCTGGTGATGGTGGTTGGTTGTTCATTTGCATTGTTTTGCTTTGGTTAGTTCTGAATTTGCTTATTCAATCTTATTTGAATCCTTATCTGCACTTTTGGGTTGGATTTTCTTAAGTCAAGTTGTTCTCTGTTCAGACACATGTGCTTTCAGTGTATCCCTGCATGAAATATAGATCACTGTAGACCACCTAGCACATGAGGCTTTGACTCCCTTCATGAAAAAACCAGCTAAGCAGACAACTGTAAGCAGAGGCACAAAACGAATTTTCCAAGACACTTTCAAAGCTAGCTCAAATTGCTAAGATTTTAGTGAGTACTGGGGCAGGTACTTAAAATACATGGTGAAATTCCCATCTAATGTTAAAGTCCATTGTTATGTTGCTGGAGGAAGTTCTAAAAAAATTTCAGAGACTGGTGGATTCTCTTCTGAATCTTGTTAATATGGCTGGTCAAAAATGATCTGTTGAACATAACTTCCGAAAGAAAATAAATTTTACTAAATGTTCTGGGGCCTGAGCTTTCTGTTTCAATAAAAAGTTCAGTGTCCAAAAAACAAACAATTTTTTTTCCCATTCTTCTTGTATAGCATCATGCAGAGCAGTAAGTTCTTAGTCCTCTCTTACAGAATCATAGAATCATAAAGTCATCTAGGTTGGAAAGGACCTCCAAGACCACAAAGTCCAACAATCAAGCTGACCTACCAAATCCCATCAATAATCATGTGCCACAAATATGTCAGCATTTCTTCCTATATTTTTCCTATAGCTACTGTTGTGCTAAATTTTCAAATTTTTGTCTAAACCTAGTTTATTCTCCCTGCTCCAGCTGATGACTGCTAAAGAAATTTAACTTTGTTCCCTGTCCTTTACACATATTTGCAAACCTTCTAGTATACAAAAATCCTTTGCAAAAAGGAAAAAAATCTAACTTTTTCACCGTGTCCATGGTGAATAAAAAAAAGAAGTTAATTAGACTAGATTGCAGCAAGAAAGAACCTAGATTAGATATTGTGAAGAACATTGTGATGATAAAGATATTGAAAGCAACAGAATAAATTGTTGAGGGAAAACTGTAGCTGCCATCATGGGACACCTTCATTAATAGGTTAGATAAACATCAGCCAGGAATGACAAAGATAAAATTGACCTTGTCTGAGGCAAGATGCCAGACTACACTTTTCGAGGTACTTTTCAGACTATTCCATGATTCTGTCCCCGTAGCTGTATATGTGCCAGTTTCACAGCTGTCAACAGGACAACTCAGAAAAGCTAACCTCATGTGAAAGACTCTCCACGGTCAGAACATTTACATCTGCATTCTGCCACAGTGAAAAAGATGAAAAATATATATTTCTGTAGTGCTCTAGTTTTTGCTTTTTGATTTGTTTACCATCTGTTCCCTAGCATAAATTTCTTAACATATATTTTATACTATAAAGAGAGATATTATTCTAACTTTATATGGGAAAAGGTCAGATTATCTATTTCTTGGAAAATTCCTTTTGCTTTTAAAACTGGGTTTTTATATAAAAGCAATACCCAGGAGAAAGCATGTATAAATAAATGTATTCACAATCATTAAATATTATATTTTGAAAAAAATATATATATTGAAATAGAGCTTTGAAGTTTCTCAGGATTTCCAGGTTTTAGTTTCCTGATACTTCTCTAGTCATTATGGAGCTGAAAGAGCAAAACTTTAAAGGGACATATGGATAATCTATCATCCCTGCAGCACGGGTGACTCTTCTTCCTCAGGAAGGCTGAAAGTTACTTTAACAATTCTAGGGAGCTTTTACTGCAGCTGGGATTCTCATGAGCTTTCAGCTCCAAGTTTTTAGGTCTTGTGACAAGAAACTTTGAGATCTCTAATTCTAGGACAGTCCACAGTATGGAACTGTTCTTCAGAGAACAGTGCTTAGAGATACCTTGAAAGTTCAGGCTCTGGGACAACGTCATTCCAGATAAAGAGAGCTTGGAAGCCCAGTAGTTGTTAGAGCAACCTCATTGGCACCACTGAGCTGAGTTCTTCATTCTCCACTCATGTGGTATGATGAGAGTAGGCTGCTGGAAACACTGTTTGCCGGTTCTCACAAGATTGTTGAATCTGTTTCCATAACTTTCATAATTTAGCATTTTCCAGTAAAAATCTTCTTTTATTTGGAAAACAGCCAAACAGGTTTATATTTAATATTATCTAAAGCTTTGGATGGAAATCTTTTAAAAGTATTTTGTAAGGAAAAGCAAAGATGAAACAAAACAATATAAAGCAATCTGAATTCTATTTGCCTACAAAATCAAAGTTATTTCATATACTAGATCTCCTTCATAATTCTGCCAATTTTAATGGGCTTGCTGTCACACATTTCTGGGGGTTTTCAAATTTTGCTTCTCTGCTGCTGTGTGGAAGAGCAATGCCAGCAACACATGAATTGACTAACAAACTGAGTGTATATTGGAAACAGTTACTTTGTCAATACACAGTGTGCTGCCAAATGCAAAAATGTCAAACAAACTGAAAAACAGATACGAATTCTTGTTTAATCTCCTATAGTTAGTGTAGTTTCACTTGCTCTTTGCAAAAATTGCAGGTAAACTGTTTTCAGTCAGAAATGATTTTAATTGGCAGTCTCTCTTCAACATTGCATAAATCTTAACCCAATGAAAATTACACAATTAGCTGCAAACTATAAACTGTCAAAATGGATCCTCTATAAAATAAAATAGACTAGCTTTGTTTAGTCTCAGTGTTTTCTCCATACTAGAATTGTTGTTAGGTTGTTTTAATTGTATGTTGTTAAAGAACGATTGGATGATATGAATATAAACTGCTTAAGTATTTATGATGTGGGCCTTAATTAAGCTTCACTTCATTTCTTACAACTGCAGAAAGCACAAGAACCTTGTCCAATGTATTTTGGTAAAAATAGGATCCTACCTACTTTGAGTAATAAAGGAATTTCTTGGATGGGAGACCATCTGGAAACTTGTTCAGAAATAAAAGAGGAAGGAGATAGTGAAAGGTCACAAAGCAGAAGATAAATTGCACAGACTTAAAAGAGAGAAAAAGAATCTGAAAATCCTGAACCCAATTGTATTATAACATTCAAGAAGGTCTGACTTGCAGGTTTATTCTCAGTTCTTTCCTTACAAAAGTAGTTCCCAATTTTTTCTTCCCTGTGTACTCAAAATAGGACCTTCATTCTCTTCTCTTCTTCCCAGCCTACAATGACAATGATTGCTAATTTTGTCTACCTTGCCACATTCCCATTCATTTTATTTCCTTTATCTGTTGTGGTACAAGTGAGACATCAGATTTTAGATTCTACAGTTTTTATAACAAAAAGCTGTTTGGTTTATGATTCAGTATTTTATACGCACTGCAAATTCACATCTGTTTTTACACTGTTGAGATGATTTTTTTGAAAAGCGTATGCTCAGTTTCACTTTTAGCTTATCTGCTTCAAAATCCTTGCAGGATGCTTTGCATAATGCAGTCTTTCTGTTCACTTGTTCTCAGATTACTGCTACTGTTCTCATGTATTGGGTACTCACATGATTCCCATTTGTTCTACATCTTTGTGTCCATAAAGTTTCATTTTTCAGTTAGATTTTTCAGGTACCATTTTCTTCATTTCTATTTCTCTTTAGTGCTTTATGCTACTTACCTACTGTTTTATGCTCTAATGATTCATATTTACAGATCTTCTTAAGGAATGTCTACACTGTAATCTAACTTTGTACTCCAGCTCGTGATTTTTGACATATATATGTGGTCTGCACACATGCTATATTTATGTATCTGATATGTTTTGATTCTATGTTTCTTTGTACAAATGGGGAAGGAAGGGGAGAGGAAAGGAGTTAAAAGATTCCATTTAATGCACTCAATGTGCAGACATGATTATTCTTTTATCTTTCTAACATCCTCTCTGCACAGGCACCTGGGGGGAAAAGGCAGTGGATGTGTTCTTCTGTGATGGACAGGGCTATCTATACAGGAGTTCTGGAGGCAGAAATTACACAACTCACACAGGAACAGCAACGATGTGGTAATGTAGGTACAGGTTTGTTGATGAATGTTATAAAAGTTTAAGGTTGGGTGTGCTGTATTGATGACTCTGGTGTTATTGTAGCAACACTGTTACCATTTTCATTCCCAATCCCATGTCCATCATATTTATAGTGTTGTATAAATTCTTGTAGTCATTCAGTCAATTACATTTATTGCTCAAATATTTCAAGCTAACATTTTATTTATTTTAGTGGCAATGATGTAATTGTATTTATTTCTTTTCTTTTCTTTGAAGACTCCCATCTCATCAGTCCTACCTGAGAGGTCTTTCATTTAAGCTTATTATGCTGATGTTTTCCTGGCTTGAATCCATTCCCTAATTTTTGAAATTAGTTTCAATTTATTATAGAAATAGACTTCTTCAAACACTAGAGCCTTGTTTTTCACCTTTCTCCTACTGTCTGATAGTCAGAGTGACACAGTCGTCCTTTAACCTCCATTTTATTTAATTGTTCTAAAGAGTATGGCACTGTGACATTACATCCTAGATCAAGAAATTAAACGTTTTATTTTAGAGAAAATAAACCAAAGAAAAAGATTTTTGTAATTGTGCACTGCAGATTGGAAAGTCTGCAGGAATCCAACAGAGAATGATAGATTTGGAAGATATTTAGAGCATATCCTTCTTATACCTGCTAAGCTTTCTAATTGTTTCATTATTGGGATAAACAATGTGCCATCTCTCTGTGATGTAGTCAGAGTTTATGAAATATTTCTCATTAAAGACATGCTGTACTAATAGCTATAAAATAACCACAGAGATGCATTTTAGGGAATGAGGCTGGCTTGGGTCACCACAGGAGATCCGCTGATATTAGTCATTCTGCCAATGTTCACAACTTTGCTCAACTTATTGATTCTCTGCAGAAAAGGGAAAAAAAGCCAATCTATCTGTTTTTCATGATGAAAATCAAAGAATAACATGAAAAAATCTTCTTTTCCCCCTCTTACTAGATTCATGACATGCCTTTCTTCACTGGCACATTTAATGACAAGAAACTCCAATATGGTTTGATGGCTATAAGCCAAGCTAATTACACAATCTGAGATCTTAGGTTTCTGTAAGTCAATATTCAGAACAATTTAGAATATATTTGAACAATGTAGACATAAAGGTCAAGTTACAATATTAATTCTTTCTAGGTAGGCCCAATATATTAAAATATATTTTCCTCCCTGTTTGAAAAGTCAGAGCATTCAAATACAATCAAGATACTTTGTCAATTATCCATCTATACCAAATGAGAAAAGAGGCAGCTTTGTGCTGTGCATACTTTCTTGCATTTTAATGATGTGAATTTCTTTCTGTCAGACATAAGAAATTCAGAGGAGTGACCCCTCAGCAGCTTCTTTAAGTGGTGCTCAGTAATAAATAATTTATCTGTAAGAATAAGGACTTGGAGACATTCAGCATAGGAGTTTAATAAATAATATGTCTGAATACTTTTATAGTATATTGTCATATCTGCTCTGAATGCACAGGCTGATTTTTTTATATTGAGTTCTAAATTTGGGAAATATTATTTTTCCATCTTTCCATAAAAATTTGGGCGCTTATTTGTGGGTTGGGAGGTGGCAAATCCAATTTCTTCTCTTCCAGGAACTGAATGCAGAATAGGATAGTTTATGATAATACATGCAAAAACTTCTGTAGATATCTTATACCTAGTGTCATTCTTTCACCCACCTCTGAAGAATAATACCTTTATTGTTCTGTGTGTTAGTGTTCTGTTTGACAGCACTGGTGAATTTCCTGCGGTTGTTTGTCAGTTTTAGTACAAAGTAAATGTTGCTTAGATGCTCCAAATTGATTATGTTCACCCTCAGGCAATTTCACAATAACCTATTGCAGATTAAAATCACAAACCGCTATGTCACCTCCGGTCCTTATTAAGATAATTGACCCTCCTACTGAATTAATAATCTACAACCTGGTTGCTTAAATATGCTTGCTACTAAATAGTTCTCCTAAAGTCTAAATGGTAACATATTTTGATGAGATAATTGAGCTTGTTTGTCTTCTTATTCAGTTAAACATCCTGGACTGGCAAGAGCATATTGTTTAAAATTCTTCCTGACAGAAAAATGTGGAAGACCCTGAATTCTCCAGGGATATTTTTCATAATTTCTAAGTTATTTTATTCATTATGCCTCTGATATTCAAATGAAAAAAAAAAAAAAAAAAAAAGTGAGAAGCTAAGCTATTTAAACTTAAAGTTATCAGTGCAAGTATAATTTGACATTATAAATTTATTGTCCCTGAAACAAAACTTTTTATATGCTAGAAGGAATCCTTCTATATTTTCTCATAATCAATATGGGTTTACTTGAATTTTTAAATTAGAAGGAATTTATCTAAATATAATTTAAAGTAATCTTTTATTTGATAATTTGTAATTTCTAATAGAGATGATGAGCCTCAGGATAGATTGGATTTCTTTCAGTATTGAGATTTATGTATGTTATTAACTAGATGTAGTAACATATAAAAAAAGCTTTGTTTCTCTCATTATGTTAATCATTTACATCTGGTTGTCATTTTTCCATATCTCATTGTTGCTTCTCACTTTCCCTTTCTACTTACTTCCCTTATTGTTATGTTCCTTCTTGTCCCTGTATTTAAAGTTAATGTATACACCATTCAGATATGACAAACAAATGGGTTGGTTCAAGAAGTTGTATGAAGTTCAAGAGGTTGTATGAAACTTGTTTGAAAATATGATCCAATTTCACTTCTTAGCTTTGTGTTGTTATTGTTTTGTTTTAGTTAAGTAGAGATCTTTTTCCTTTCTTTTAAAGCAATGGCAAACATGTCGATAGTCAATTAGTTTATAATAAATCAAACTGATACAATGGATGCTCCTACCATGAGCATACTCAAAAAGGTCCGATCAAGCTAGAGTTAGTACTACAGTAGGGAATCTTAATGGAGTTCTAGAACATACATGTATCTATTGTACTTCACCCCTTAAGTACTACCATGTATGTCAGCATAAGTGCATCTCCAATTTCTTAGTGAGTAAAAGGAATTCTGTGTATATTGCACTCAAGTCTTGAATCCAGGTTGCTTATTTGCATGACCATGTGGAATCTGTTGAGATATTGCAATGAGGAATATTGATGAAATCTGAACTTCAGGTTTTAAAAGCTTTTAAGTATAAAAAATACAGAAAGTACAGAAAGTACTTTACAAAAATGTATAATATCCAAACAAAAAGAAGCAGACAAGAAAAATGTATACAGAGATTTCTTCATTCTTGAATGTGATTTTGCATTACTGATGCAGTATCATCATTTCTTTTTAACTCTTAAGGTCTCTAATGACCTTAGATATCAGAAATTTCATACTCTGACCTATTGGATAACTGGGCATATTAGTCAATGTCTACTATCAATTTCATTTCACTACATTACACTTAGCACCTAGATCAAAACTTCTTTATGTTACAATATACATCAGTTATTCTAGAGCTACAAATCAATCTTGTCAACATATTAAGTTTTATAACTTCTTTATAGTGGTACTGTTTCTTGGTAATAACTTCTTGTACCAGCCAGCAATACAGAGAAATAATCAATTAAAAACAGCAACAACAAACATATGCTATCAAAATAATACTAAAAATAAATCCTCAAAATGGCCAAATTCATTGAAAGAACTAAAATTAATTCTCTCAGCATTCAGTTGCTTTGTGAGACGAGTATACTAGAAAAATTTCTTTATCCTTTCTGACTTTAAAACATTTATTTTTTTCAGGATTGCTTCTTAAAGAGCATATTACTTTATCGAGATCTATCCAACAGTATTATTAAATTTAGCCTTCTGTATTTGCTCTAATGTACGAAAACATTAACTCAGAAAATAAACAGTGATTATAAAATGCACAGGTGAATAGGTCTGAAAAATTTCTGCAATTGTCCAGGTTAATTTCCATATTCACCAAAGTGAAGAGTCATCCACTCTGACCTTGAAAAAGTCATACATCAAGAAGAAGCTTCATCCACATAAAGGGACAGTGTTTATCTGTATGAAATGTTTCCTGACAACCTTCTGGTTACTTTTGTGAAGTCCAGTTAGTGGAAAGCACTATGTTCTGTCCTGCAAAAGCAGAGAGCTTTTCAAATAAAATTTGCTATAAATTACTGTCGAAAACATGTCAAGAAATTGTCACATTATAATCAACAGAAAAGCTTCCCTTTACTTTGCTGAGTCTGAAATTGCCACAATTTAATTGTGTTAAGTGTATATATTAATATATATATATATATATTTTTTTTTAACTGAAATTTTAATACTTACACTTCCACATCCATGTCTGATGTAAGTTCTTAACCCTCAGAAAAGTTCTATGTCTATGTAAGACAGGGAACTACAATCCATGTCATCCCTCAACACTTAAGACATTGGAAAAATATAACTTTGTTAAAGTAAACAGGTTGATTTGCAAATCTCTTTGTTAATTCTAAGCAGTATTCTCATACTATTTCTTCCCTACAAATAGGTTATTTCTCAGAAAATTTTAAACTTATTCCTGTGCCTTCAACTTTACCCAGAATGTATCAAGACTTTTTTTTTTTTTTTTAAATTTAAGTATCACTGTTACATTTTTCTAACTCTTAAGTTCACAATTGACTTGAGTGAAATTCTACCTGGGTTCAAGCAGATACTGAGTTTATGAATAACAGTACTAAGTTCTTTGCCTTTCTCATTCTCACTAGCCAGCAAAGTTTTAGGTTATATGTATCTTAGGACTGATCCCACTCGTGATTAGGCCAACACTGTCATTCCTTCCATGGCAAATGCTATATACAGATAAAGAATGAGAAATTCTACAGGTTGTTTTGTTGTGGTGGTGTTTTTTGTTGCTGTTGTTTTATGGCAGAAATAACAAATAATGTATTATTCCAGTCACTGACACCTTCTGTCTGTTTTCCTCAAGGTCCTTTTTAATATGTGTCCACAGAGCCTCCTAAAATGTTAAAACCTAACCTAAAATGTTGAAAGATTATGTTGCAAGCAAGATATAAAGCAAACATAGTCTTAGTCATAGCCACTTTCCTTGCACAAGAGCAGCATCTGTATTACTGTGGGATAAATCAGTTTCAACACTATGATCAGAAAGCAAATTAATCAATCTGAATTAATAAATGCATATGGAATAATATATCTATAAAATCTAGAAGGAGAAAATGATATAACTTTACTCAATCACAGATTAAGAAAGCCATGCCCTGCATGGAACATCACTGAGATTTCCAAGATAAAATGTGCATTGTTCACAAAGGTTTCTCATAGGCAAAAATAAGCAGGGTCAATGGCAGTTTTTACCAAAAGGGCTGGTGTCTTATTTTTCTGAATGATGTAAACTAAGTTGACAAAGCACTGTCTGTTGTCAGTCTGTAGTAAAGTCCTGTTCATTCCATGGTGTTGGTCTAAAGGTGCCTGCTGAGTTGTGTTTTTAACACTCTGTGATATAAACTGTTTTGTAGACTGACACATGTAGCCTCATACCACGTGGTCGATATCTTGCACAACGGGACTCGGGTTTTTGGGTAGCCACCAGGTTCTTATGTGAAGCTCTAAGACTGATTTGCGTGTCAGAGGACTTGGGGAGAAGATACTCAGAAGCATTCAAACTTCTTCATATTGAATGGCACCTTTTTGGAGTTGGCACCATTTCAAAGTTATAGTAAGTTACAAACCATGTTCTTCTGTCATTGTCATTTTTTTCCAGTTAGATAACAAAAGAAGGATTAATGTTGTTGGAGTAATGCTAACACTTCTTAACTGCAGGACAGTGAATACTGGTAATTCTTTCTCTTACTCAGCAGACAAGTTATTTCCCAGTAAAATAATATCTATTTAGAGGACCATTTTTAAGCAGCACTGGAGAGACAGGATAGTAATATTCATATACAGAAAATACCTGCCTTTATGAAAGAGGATATTTCTTGTTTACTGTTGGTCGTTAGAGCCACATTTTAATACACATAGTTGTCATATATTATGAGAAAATGTGTGTACATGTTTCATTATAATTTATGATAAAGACCTACACATTAAAATAACAGACTTAAGTCCAGATCATGCTCCAGAACAAGGTATTGCTTTATAATAGTGAATTCACCTGAGGAGAAATACTTTAATCATTCTGTTACTGCTTCAAGAAAGACTTACATCTGTGGTATTTCAACCTACTAAGAAACAGCTGTAGAAATAAAAAATAACTCTAGGATAGGCCTGCACAATAAAATGGAGTATTTCCTGCTTTCACATATAACATATGGGACCTAACAGATACTGCCTGACAATTTTTGGGTGGCAGTAGAAATCCAAGTGAAATAAAACGAAGGTTTGCTTTTGCTATGTAGGTTCATAGAAGACTGTATAACCTAGATGAAGTGTTGTGTTTGCATATGCTCAGCTTACAACTCTGTAACTCTGTTAAGCTCTGGTTCATATAAATATCCTCTGAACTCAATGTAAAAGAAAAAAAAAATAAATGACTGCCCCACATAAATATTTCATCCATTGTAATCAAGTTAAAAACACAGCTGTAGCATGGCCACGTATGCAAGGCTTTAGTTTTGCATGCTGTATTAATATAGGAGTTGTTACAGTTGATTTAATTTGAATATTTTTAGACATTTTCCAAAGCTTCTACAGAAATATATGATGTTTCCTTTTTTTTTTTTTTTTTTTCTTATACCACATCATAGATTTTTATTAGGGAAGGACTTTTTTCTATATACATGTATGACTACATTGTTTGGAAATTCAGAAAACTCTATAGTGCTTTTCCTTGTAAGAAAGGACGCATTTTACTTCCCTAAAGGCACCGTTTATATTCTTTGGTTATTTTTTTCCTACCAGATAGTCACTACATGTTTTTCACTGCTGTCATAGGAATGCTTCTAAATGTTTTTGTGTTTGTCCCCCCCAATATTATTTAAAACTTTGCTATATAGTACTAAGCATTTGTTTATTTTCTCACTTTACTGTGTGTGGAAAGTGGAGAAAAAAAACATTTTAACACTGTTTTTACAATGTGGTATATGAAACTCAGTTTCATGTGTAGTTTGGTATATGAACACATGGAGTTAAATTCTTTCCGTAAGTCAGGGGTAGTCAATATGTAATCAGCCATGAAGTTTGTGTTTCACAAAGCTGCTTACACTGAATAATTCAATATTTGAGCTTTAATGATATTTGAATAAGAATCTATGTAGGCTGTATAGTAGATAGATGAAAGAAGGCAGAAAGACTTTTGATTTCTGGCTGAGATCATACTTCTGCCATCTGTGGGATCTGTCCTCCTTCTGACAGACACCTGCCACACTGCCTGTGTGGACTGGGGACCTCCACCACCCCTGTAGGTTGTGCACAGTCTCTATAGCTTCTCCTAGCTTTTCTCTGAGGACCTGAGCCACGGAACCCTGGGGAATAACTTCTCAGTGCAGGACTGTTGTTAGGCATCTGCCTCCAGGAAGATGACAACCTTGTATCACCTAAGGAGAGGCAGAAGGAAGACAAACGCTGTGGTGTCTTGGGCTGGCATGGCTGATGGAGCACCCCCATCTCTGCTGAGGCCTCCACACTGCTGTCAGACCAGCCATAACACAAGCAGACAGCAGGGCTGACTTGTAGGAACCCTGTGTTTTAGCGTGGTCTGTCACAGAGGGGGAGGACAGACCATAACCACTGTCTCTTGTCCAGAACAGACAAGAAAAAAGGGAGGGGGGAGCCAAAATCAGCCCAGAACATGGGAGGTATATTTCAGAAACATCTGCACAGGAATCTTCTGTTTGCACCAGAACCATCTATGAAGCACTCTCTACAAAGGGTGCTTGCCATGGTGCCTGAAGTGTGGCTCTCCCAGCAAAGCACCCATAGCTGCCTTTAGCCCTGGAGCTGGGCTTGCTGCAGCACCTGCCCAGGGCCCCAGCTCACCATGCTGTGACCCTGTGCTGCCAAAGAGCTGATGAGTGGAGGGCCCTGAGGTGAAGTACCAGCATTAGGAGACCTGGCAGTGGGCTGGGTGGTGTGGGGTCTCCCTCTCTGACCAGCCTGCCCTGCAACCCCAGCAAGGAGAGCTGGGCCAGGCCAGGCACAATGAGCAGGGTCAGCCACCGCCAACATCCCCAGGTGCTGCCGCAGGCCCTGAGCCTGGTTGGAAAGACAGCCCCCAAGTAGGACCGGGTTGGCAGGGCCCAGGGCAGGGGCAGGGCCGCATCCAAAGCTCAGGTAGAACCAGTGAGAGCCTCAGGGCAGAGCATCTCCCCAGGCAGAGAGGGGAGATCCTTGCTGAGGCTTCTCCTGCCCTTCTTCGCAGCGGCAGCTTCTGTCAGCCCACCATCAGCTGTGAGGGCAGCCAGGAAACTCCTGGACAAGGGAGTACAGAAAAGTGCCCTGGGCCACAACAGCAATTTTCACTCCAAGGATCATGGGTTGCAGTGGCATGCTCAGTGCCCCAGAAACAGCCCAGCCCCTCCCTACCCCCCCCCCACCCCATGTGTTGTACAAACAACAACAATATTAATAATATAATTGTCAAATGTATGGATGGGAATCAGCTGTCTGGAGATCAACCTTAATTAGAACCAGTGTGAGGTAAAGGCCAGTTTGAGGGTAAGAAATACATGCAAAATTTTCAAGACTGAGAGGAAAGTATCCTCAGCTCCAAAAGGCCTGTCCTCACCATGTCAACATAACCTGTAGTCCTACAGTCAGAGACTAAGTTCAATTACTTACCTTATAGCTCATGTCACACTAGCAAGTCTTGTCTATCATTCCTAATTTCATAATGAGTTTATTTCCAGGCTGTCCTGGGACTTCATTCCAGATTAACTTCCTAAAAAGATTCTTCTATTTCCTTTCAGCTCTCAGGGGATGCAGATATTTTTGTCAGATTCTATTCCGTGGCTTCCAGGTGGTGATAGAAAATATTTCATTCGACTTTATCCAATGGGTAGACGTGGGAAGTGAAAGCTTTACCTCCACTTGAGAAGAAAAATGTATAAACTGATGCATGAAGCCTTCTCACTCCCCAAACTTGAAAATTTAGATCAACTGTAAATTAACAGACTTACTTAATATAACACCATAACTGGGATTAATGAATGTAGGTCATTATTGGCTGCTGACTGAGGATAGACACAAGGGCAATCAATGACTTAGGTTGTTGTGAAGTTTGAGTGATAATGGAACTATGGAGGCTGATACCGAACTTTAAAAAATGATAGGACATGCAGTAGCAAATGTTAGCATGGAAATGATTGCAAACAAATTTTAACATAGGTCACATTATTCAGCCAGGCCAGTCTGAATAATATCTTATTATTTGAGTCTACTCTGTCTCCAACCAGATGATAAATCCAAATTAAAATTTGAAGAGGAAGCATTTTAGCATTTTTGCCATACTTCTCATCCTAAAAATATACTCTGCTTAAACACTGAGGAAAATTGTTCTCCATTTCTCATAAAAAAAAAAAAAAAAAAAAAAAAAAAAAAAAAAAAAAAACTTGTCAGGTTTAAATAAATAAATATTTCTGATGAGCCCTAATGACAAGACTCACATTTTTCATTATGACACGTATTTTTAAACTTTTGATTGAGTTGGTATTATGTTACCTCCTGGTTATGAAAGATTCAGGGAGAAATGAGAGGAACATTCCAAACTCCTGCATTATCTAAAGTAAACCACACAGTGAATTTCTAATAGGTTTTCTCTCCAAGGGTCTTAATCCAAGCCTTTTTCTAGGGTAGTCTGAAAAGAGCAAGATAGAATCTGCTTATCACCCTTTCCCCCTGAAAGTACAGCAAGGTAAACAAGAAGGCAACTTGTCAGCATTGAGACAATTACTTCTGTTTCTAACATCACAGACTAAAACTGATAAGGGATTTTTATGAGGGATTTTTGTATCCAGATTAGAAGAAATCAGCAAGTGTTCCTGGGCATTCTGCTATCTAGATTTCATGTTGTTTCCTATGTCCTTCCATATATAAAGGCAAAGTTATTTAATTTCTCTTTGCTTAATAAAAAGAAAAAAAAAAAGAAAGAAAAAAAAAAAAAACAAACTACTGATTTATTCTGGACTCTGTTATTTCATTTTACCAGAGTAAACAGTGGGAGGAGGTACAGAGCTGAACTACTGCAATCTTAGTAGAGGAGTATAGTATACCAAGGCAAAGGAAAATATCTTCCCTACATATCCACAGGTTGTGCCCATAGACAACAACTTTTGTGGAATGTAGTTCTCTTTTATTGCTGTGTTTACAAGTTGGCATGTAAAGGTTAAATAATAGACCTTTTGTTCAGTGATCCTCCCTCAGAACAGAAGAACAGAAGTATGTGCTCTCAGGAAGGAGAGAAATCTGTTTTCTTTAGTAGCAGAAAGATAAAGGAAGAGCTAAAGTCATTAAGCTTTTTCCCATAGACTTTTATAAAACAAGGTTTATTATTTTCTTCTTTTGAAAATAGTCCCATCATTTTTTTCTGCACAGTCATAATCTCCCAAACATCTTCCTCCTCTTAAAAAAATTAAATCCCACTGGAAAGTGACAGGATTTAAGTTCCTAAATTACTCAGCTTTTTTTGAACATTGGAGATTCTGCTTAAGCAAACATCAAACTAATCCAATATTGACTTTGCTTTTCATTTAAATCTTGCTTTTGGAAGACGAGCACAGAAAAATAACCCCATAGAAAACTCTTTTCTTCTTTCCCTCAAATAAGTAATTTAATGGAAGGGAAAACTTCTTAGGGACAGATTGCTTTGCCTAGAAAAGCTAACCTATTTTGGAATTCTGATACACAACAAAATGGGTCAGTGGTGCTTCATTTGTGGACATAATTCTGTTCAAAATACTCACGTATATGGCATGACTGTATGTCATATCACCTGCAGCCTCATGATAAGGACTTAAGAAGTCCTCACCAAGCAGAAGACCAAATTGATAGTGGATCTCTTTAAGCTAATCATTCACGTGGAAAGAAAAAAGAAAATGAGAAGGTGACAGAATCACATTCTAGTGAATAGTATTTCCAAGACCAAAGTACACCTTTGAAAATCAAAAATTAGCAAATAAATTTGCCATGTTATTATGACTGTATAAGAAATTCTTCTATCTCCAGTATAAGATCACAAGCTGTTTTTTCACTCATGCACCTCCCATCACCCTACACCCTAAGAAAACTTTCCCCAATTGAATTTACTTAACTTTTTCCTAAATAACAGTGGCCTCCTTAGTTATATTACATCACTCAGTCACTAAGCATTTCCATGGAATGAACAGATGGTCACACAGGGCATACTTAGATAAAAAAGAGAGAGAAATTGAAACAAACCTGAAAGGTAGACTGTGATGTGTCTGTAATTCTTTAATGTTATGTTAGTCTTCATGGCACAGTAAAATGTCTATCAACAGGCTGGTAATAGTGATTCTGCAGTCATTTCTTAGCCCATAACTCCATAGACTTCAGTACTGAGGCAAAAATCTTGGGCAAAAATACAAATTTTGGGCTTAGGAGGTATCTGCCAATGCAATGGCAATTCACAAAAATTTACTTTGGAAGCAGCCCCGTATGTACACTGAATTGGCATACAGTGATATATATCTCTTCATAAAAATGCCCCACTTTTCAGATTTATTGCATCTGGTGGAATGTAGTGTAAATATGTTTTGTGTGAATAGAAAGTAGCTATTTTGAAACTTCATAAAACTGAATATGCTTAATTGTGTAATGTAAATTTCAAAATATATATTATGCATTAAATGCTGATTAAAATGGTATTTAAAAATATAACATTCCAAGAATAGTGATTTTGAAGAGTTTTGATGGAAATACCCGGTAGTAATAAAAATTCAAGCTATTGTGTGTTAAGAATAAAGGATTTGCTTATATGTTTAAAGATGCATTGAAACTGGGATAAGAGATAAGAAAATGGAAATAAAACTGACACTTGTCAAACTAACTGCTGATTTCTACATTTGATTTAGATTAATTCTTTTGATACGGACCAGATAATACAAGTGAGAGAATTTAAAAAAAAAAAAAAAAAGTGTAAAATATACAATAAACACTTAAAACTGGATCACTTTAAAAGAGCAAGTGAGATTAAATAAAAAAAAAAAAAAGTGTTTGTATTACATGAAAATAATTGTCGTCAATACAGTACCTATTTTTCATAAGCTTTTCAAACACTCATGTCATTTATTTGTGTATGCGAGAATGGGTATTTTATGTTTTCCACAAGAAAATAACTCTTACGTGAGCTGTTATTTGTCACTTTATGTCTCTGCTTCACAAGAAATTGCTTTTATGGAGTCTAATCCCACCCCAAAATAACATAAAATCTGTGAATGCAAAACAAGTTTCTGTACATTCATGGAAATTACTTGAATAAGGTTGAAGTTTCCCTTTTGAAAGATTTCCAACACGTTCTATCTAAGCAGCAAAGCATTTTTGTATTAAGTCACTGGTAATCAGCACTTCTGAAAAACATATCATCTATTAAGATCTCCAAATTAGGAATGGATTTTTAAATGTCTCTGGAGCATGTTGGCAGTCTGGGATGTGAGAGAATTTTCTATATATCTTTTGTGGGTGTTTTGCTTCCTTCATTTAGGAGCATAGTCTGCATTAGAATCAATTTGTATTGTGAAGTCATTTAGGTTTTACTCTGAACCTACAAAATGGGGTTTTGAAACCAAAATGGCATTGACATGTGAGCTGAATCTGAGAGGTGTGTTCCCCTCTGGGGGTACTGAAGAATCACAGAATCACACAGAATTTCTAGGTTGGAAGAGACCTCAAGATCATCGATCCAACCTCTGACCTAAGAGACGTGAGGTATGTCAGAACAGGGATTTCCCTGAGATAACCAAAATAATTCACTGAGGACACACTGGGGTTTAAATCACACTGTTCTTTCAGAGGCTTCGGTACCACTTTGCCTGTACCAGCTAGCGACTTTCTATCTGGGGAATTCTCTATCCTGAAATCTCTCTTGCAAGCAGGGCCTTCAAAAAGGAAACAGCTGCTCCTATTTTTATTTATTTTTACTTAATTATTTTTATTCCCATCACAGGAGGACAGGGAGCTTACAGAGGATCTCCTTCATCCCCTCCCACCTCCACTGATGCAGCAGTGGTGAGAGCAGTCATCGGGAATGTCAAAGGTCTGAGTTCACTTGTCCATCTGCACAAGCTCAAAACTTCTACCTCTCTCAGCCTGGAGGGTTGCCCTGCCTATTAGGCAACGGACAGCTTTTACACTGCAGTAATCTGCAGGTATGTTGGAAGCTGTTTACTTTCTGTAATATTCCAGAGAGACAAAAGAAACTGGTGATTAAGCCTACAGCGTAGTGTTTCTATAGTCCAGCTTAAAGAGGAAATTCTGTATTTTAACAATAGTCTGAGAATTCTGTTTGTTCTACATTAAGCAGTCACTGGGTAAAATACTGAAATGCTTATAAAAACATGGACTGAAACAGCCTATATCCAGACTGTATAGCAGACAGGAAACAAGTCAAAGGTGTGTCTTGTTAATGCATATCATCAGGGCTGAAATGTGAGAAAGCTGGCGAGCTGCTCAGCCTTATTAAGTGGTAACTGCTTCTGAAACCCTCAGAAAGAAAATGTCTGGTCTCCTATATAATTTACAATATTTAAAGTATTGTTTAATGATTAATATGATATGAAATTTACTGTTGGATAAATGAGTTTTGAAGATTAGAACTTGGAGGAGAAATGCCCCATTTTATGGATCTTGTTAGTAAGCAGTTCTGGAAATGTTTATGTATGTATTATATGGCTTGGTGTTTCCATGTCCAAAAATGCTGGCTGTTCTGTCTTATTATAGTTCATTTGGATTATTTCTTTTCCTAATTAACAGCTGGTACTTCGTGACAATAGGTAGGAAATTCTGCCAGTTGCAAGTGGGATGTCTGGTCACATTCCTATGGTATTAAAACCAGCAAAATTCTGTTTTTTGTTGGTTTGAGGTTGTGGGTTTTGTTCATCTTTGTTAGTTTGGTCTGGCCTTGATATTTGATAATTGTGTTGGTTTATAACAGTTATGATGTTCTGGTAGGGACTGTAAGTCAGCTTTGTTCGGAACTGTTACATTAAGTATATTTGTGAACATTAGCTATCAAAATATAGAAATCATCACATCTTTGGTGATGTTAGATAAGATATATATGTAGTTGTAAACAGTATCTCAGCTATTAATCAGAGAAAGTAAGACAAAACTGATAATGAGGTCTGATCATTGTCTTCAAGACTGAATAATATCAGTCTTCAGAAGACTTTACTATTAAGCAGGGGTGCTAGAGCTTCTTGCCTGTGGTTCACTCTCTTAGTGTTTGCACCTGTGTGAGTGTCCCACTGAAGTGAGTGGGATGTCCTGTTGACTGGAACACTGGTGCCAGAACAAAGAAAATAGATTCCCACCCTGCAGTAACACTGCTTGTAGGCAAATCACACACATTGACAAGGGAACACTGAAACTTGCATATTATTTCTGTGTCTGCACCAGTCTGTCCTAAAATACCACTTCTGGATGTACTCTGGTCAGAGACTCAAAAAAGTTAGTAGTTGTTCATGAGGTAACCTTACCTCTGTTGAACCTCCAGCAAGAAGATATTGATTATCATGGCTCTGCTGCTCCTTTTGCACCCTGGAGCATAACACCTCCCACTTCTTAAGTTTTGACTTACATTATGTATAAAGTATTTTACATGAAGAGTTTAGATCTACATGCATTCCAGTGGAGGAGTTCCTTTAAAGGTCATGTGTTATTCATGAGATGCTTTCTTAGTTACTTAATACTTCTGTCTGACCCTTACCCAACTGATTATTTCTATAAGGTTGGGTAACCTGTTGATTGTTGAGCAAGATACCCAGTTTGTGTTCTTCTTATATTGTCTGGAGGCCTTTTTGATCCCTCTGAACGAGTCTGTTTTGATTCTCTCTCTGCTCAGAAAACTGCAGAGCAGTCTATTTGGATGACATTACCTATGTTTCCTGTAATCTCCACCATGCTGTTTAGTTTTATTGTGAAAATATGTGGGTGACAGATCTCTCCCATTCGTTCTTCATCTTTTCCAGGTACTCTTTGAAGAGTCCACTTAGAAGAGCAACAGCTTTTCCTTTTGGCTGCAGTTGCTGAGAGTCTCTCCAGATGCAAGGTATGACTGATGAAAGAGTTGAAGAGTAAGTGGCAAAAGCCAGAAAAATGTTCAGAAGGCAGATGTTTTGTTTGTTTCTGAAGGCTTTAGCTTTGAAAAGAAAAAAAACAGTAAATGTAGAAAGCCCATTTCAAGCCAGTAAACATAACTGGTCATTTCTTCTGTATGTTTAACCAATGACTTGGTGAGTTTCCAGTGTTGATGTTGGTAAAGCTTGTTAACAAGCTAGGTTGGCTGCAAATGCATGGTACAAGAAACCATAGAGAAAAACAGGCAGAGATTATGGGGAGCTGCTTCTGTAAGACCTGTAGACAGTCCCATCTCATGAAAATCAAGCTTATACTTCACTAGAGAGGTGATGCCACAAAAGCAGAATATTTTACATCAACAGAAAATTACATTATCAGATTGGAATAACTAAGCATTAAAAAATGAAGCTGTGAGGAAAAACTCATTTTTGTGTTTGTTCCTGTAATATTTCAACAACAAAAAGTAGGAAAAATGTTTTGGATCAATCGGGAAGTAATTTTATCTTCCCATTTACTGTGAAAGATAAAGGGTTCAGGGAAGAAGAAAATGTTTTTTCTTGGGGGAGGGAGGAAGCAAGGAACTCTGAACTCCAAAAGCATATTTAGTTATAACTAAAATAAACTATTTTATATGAAACAGTTATTTTACTGTATTTTAAAATGTTCACAGGAAATATTTTCTTTGCTTCTTTTTATCTTTTTAAATAATTCTTTGTAGCTAAGCAAATTGTTTTAGTGGTTATCTTTGAGTGTGATTGCTCTTTTTGGAGTTCGTGTGTGTCTGTGTGGAAAAAAGAAGTTTCCCAGGAAAGCCTGTCCTCTTGCAGCTGGCTAACATCATAGTTTTTTATCTGCAGAGAGATTAAGGTGTCTTTCCAAAGCACCTGTCTGAAGTCATCTGTAGTGAGGGAATAAAAATATAGATCCTTCTTACCTACCAATAAATAGATTCAATAAAAAAATAACTCAAAGAATCCATCAATTATTCAAAGGAATTGCTGTTTTCACATACTTAATACTGCCATCTGTGCTATGGGTGAAATTCAGCCTTAGGCAGGTGATCAATGCTAGGCCTGTGCTCTATCTAAATCCCATGTCAAATCCTCCACGTTACATACATATATATATATATTCATTATCAACTCCTTCTCCATCCCACAGCAGATAATGTAGCACAAGTGGGGATAACTGAGTCATTTTCTCATTATAAACTACTTTACAATTCAATGCAAAAAGGAAAAAAAAGACCTACATTAATATGTATAAGAGTTTTTAAAGTTGAGAAATGTGCCACGAAGAAGTTAAATCAATCCCCTTCACATATGTACTATTTTATTACAGAACTGTACTTGCTGTTTAGCTTTGTGCTTCTGTATGTTTATAACGTGGCAGAAATATTGTTAGTGTGGAAAATATCATTGAATTTGATGATCTGGGGTACAAAAACTGTTGTCAGGTTGCAATGCTATTGATTGTTACAAATTAGAGACAGCAAGACCAGAAATATTTCAATGCTTCATGATTAATTACATATTCAAATTAAATATGCTTAAGATTCAGTGTGAGATTCAAATGCATTTTATGCATAAGTGTATTTATTTTATCTCTGCATCACTGCATACTCAAATAAGCTATGTTCAACTAGCTACATATGTGATGTGGGACTTCAATTGGTACTTTGCATTTAGTGAAGTTCTCTTTCATACAAAATTTGGTGCATTATAATCCATGTACCTAACAGTCAGGTAAATTTACTGGCTTTTTTATCTGTTTGTTTGTTTCAATAAAACTTCTTTAACACAAGAAATATTGCGAAGATACCAGTACAGAAAGAAATATGGCTCAGTATATGTAAAGCAAAATTCTGACACTTTTTAACCTGATATTAAAACTCCAGCTGATTGAATGGGGACAGTACTTTAACCCCAACAGTGCTGTTCTTTTGGTATATTGCTGTTTGACAGGACTAGCAGGGTAGGTATTTTTCTGATTAGTAGACTATTGTTTACCCTGAATGGTGCACTTAGATGATAAAGAATCAAATTTAGATATGGCTATATACTTCAGTTTCCTAATTTGTGAGAGAAATAATGCTAGGGGATGTGTCTCTTACACAAAGTATGAGTGAAATCCATTCTCTATTGCAAAGCTGCCTGAAATGGAACTCTAAATTTCATAAATTGTTTTGCCCCCAGTTAGGATGAAATTATCGGGATACCCAAGCACTGCTGTCTCAGGCAAAAAGCAGTTTAAGTTTCCCACATGTTCATTTCCATTCTCAGCATGGCCCTCTCAGGCTAGGTCTCTCTGAATGTATCATGAGTGTGTGACTTCTGATGCACTGTGCCTGTTCAAGCAGGCTCCAGTGACTGCGAAGGATGCAGTATGAAACCCAGCCTACGCAGACAGTAGGGTCAGAAAGCATTCCTGGAAGGAACTAATCCTCTACAAGCAGACATGTTACAGGCTCTTTTTAATAAACTGGTAATCAGCATCTCAAAAGCTATTAGAATTTCTCCTTCATTTGACAAGCAGTCCCCAAACCCCACTGCTCAAACAGTCAGGAACTGTCAGCCCCCAGATTCCACAGGAATGTGTTACTTAGGGTAAATTTCCACAAGGAAACTGGGCATCATGCAAAAGCATTCTGCCTTGCTGCCAGCTGGCATCCTGATGGGCTGACAGGAAGCAGAAGGCCTCAGGAGTCCCAGCTTTCAGACATGCTGTACTCAGTTGCCTGGGATCAAAGTGTCCATAGTTCTCAAGGAAATCATCGTACAGGCTGTCTTAGCACCAGCTGAAATGAGGAGACATATTTTTGAAGGGAATTGTAAAACTCGTTATTTTTTCAAGTGAAATTAACCAAAATTTTTGAAATATTTACCTGCTCTCTGAAGTAGCTATCATTCCTAGCCTGTCAGTATATTAAAATGAAAGCCTACACGTTCTTCTTAAAGAGAAAATAAGCTTTTTTTAAAAAATCTAATAAGATCTAACTATTTCAAGTTTTGGTAAGAATGACCCCAGACAAGACAAAATATTCAGAAATTTTAAAAGCAGATCTCAAACTGGTGGAGTGACTACTGCTAGAGATAGATAGCTGAAAGTTTATTTAGTCTTGCTGTTTAAAAAATAATTTAAAAAATATTTATTTTCTTTTTTGTAAGAAGTGTATTAACTTAGCTTTTTAATCTATGTGGGTGTCAGAGGGTGTCTGCAAAAATAGAGGCCTCTTGACAGTTTTTGCAGTGATGGGTGGATTTGCTTTGAGAAACTCCCCCACACTCAGGGCCTGGACAGTGGAAGCTTGTTTCCAGAAGTACCAATTGTTATTTCTCTTTGTTAACAAATGCTGCTTGTTGCTTTTGATGCTTGCATAGAATTAAAATTTGTCTGCTTGGACTTAAGTGCAACTGTCTGATGAGAACTGATGTAGGGCTTGACGTGTAGAGTCAGAGAACGGTGGTGCAGCTTTCTGTCAGCCATTTTGCTTTAGTGCTTGTCCTGGGTTTTCCAGGTCTTAGTGTTCAACTCTGCCTCTCTACTGCATGCATCTGAGATAAGAGATCTGGGGTGATGTGGGGGGTTACCTGGGAAACCAAGTCTCTTTTCTTCTTTTTCTTTCTTTGTTGCTGAATGCAAGACTACAGTGTCACTCGGTGCCTATGCCACACCACAAACCACTCAGTTGTTCAGCACTGTGTGTGTATTGCTGTTACTGTTCTTCTTATCTTGTGTATCACCTTGTATTTTTACTTCCAATTCACAGCAGTGTTGTTGTCAATATTTTGAATGCTGATAACTGGCAGCGGGGATGGCTAATGTTTTCTCTGTTGAAAAGAAATATGGCATTTCATGGCAACTGGTTAAGATCATTGCCAACGTGTTTTTTTCAGAAGGATTCAAAATAGTAAATTTCTGTCACGAATAGTAAGTATGTTTGATATGAGTGACTGTAGAAACAGATGTACCTATGCAGCCATTTTGTATACCAAACAGGAAGCTACCTCAGGGACTGGCTGGTTACTCCTCTTGTTATGTGTTTAAAGTCCAAATATGTAATGGCATGGAGGACTAATCCATTTGATATATTATCCTGCTATTTGATTTATTACATTCTGCTAAAACTACCTAGTTCATTTTAGTATTTCAAGTGTTTGTTGTTTGTTTCTGTATACTAGGTGTGCTGGTGACATAGCAGGATTTTAACTTTTTAAAATAGAAATAAAATAGTATCCATGGTGAACTTTTTATATTGTACCTCCATGATATGTGCTTCCTGGTTAATATGGGAAGTTATGATTCTTTATTGTATTCTAGGAAGATTTTACTATTTCAGAGTAATCACACAAAACAATTACAGTTTTCTAGCATTTCTGCAAGGAACTTGAAAAGCGGTTCCCTGGTTTAGGTTTTCATTCTGAAAAGGTAGAGCCATTGTGTTTTAATATATACAGAAAATTTTTAGTGATAGGTTTCAAAAAGATATTTGATTCGTGATGAAGCAATGCAGGATAATCCTAGGATATGTTTTTCTGTAGTAGTAATTCAATTTTTCACATAAACTGCATGATTTGATTTTTTTTCCATGTTTTCTTTTTCATAAGTAATCATCAAGAGAATAATTACTGGAGCTGTCTGTTTTTCTCACACTATAGTGTATGCCCATCATCTTAAAGACAAGTTCTTCTTTGTTGCTCTCTGTTAATTTTGCTTTGCTTCAGACCTCTTTGTAGGCTATTTGTAGGTAACCACACATTCATGAGGAGAAAATCAGATCTCTACAGTTAATTTCTATAACAAACTTTTGCTTTGGATGCATCTAAAGGCCATTTCATAGATATTTAGACCATTTGAAGTAATATAAACTTTATTTCCATTATGTCTTTGACATAACCAGTTAACACTGAGCCAGTACACACTTTCTCTCTGCTTCTATACCATTACTTTTATTTAGCTTAACACCTGACT